GAGTCGGCAGGTGAGGCAAAAGTTAAGTATAGGCAAGCACGCCCTTGAACATCCCTTCCGAAGGTGCCAAGTTGGAAACAGATATACTGTCTCTCAGTAAATCCAGTACAGCCAAATTTTCTCTCTAGCTTTGGAACAGATAGACTTTTTTTTTTTCTCTTTTGGTTGAGCCCCAGATGAAGTAATTGCATTGAATTCAGGAATCATATTATATGTAATAAATATCTTTGAAAACTAGGGTACTCAGAACTGCAGCAAGGTAGTCGCTGAGAGAGGGATATGGGAGGGATGTGAATTCACCAAAGAAAAAGGCAGAGTTCCATTTTGCACCTCGCACTCACTCTGGGGCATATGCTCACTGAGTGGAATAGCAATTGAAATGTTCATATGCTATGTGATTCTTTGTCTCTCGAGCTCTCTCTTTCCTTCCTTCTCTCTCTCTCATCCTTTTATGAGCACATGTACTTATTTGACTAAATTTGAGTTTGTGCCTGTGGTAGAAATAAACTGATTCACCTATAGGATCACCTAGCACATGCTTGATCACTTACTCAGTTATTAGAACATAGGACAGCACTGAGGGGGGCACTTGACCGGATGAGCACTGGGTGTTATGCTATATGTTGGCAAATCGAACTCCAATAAAAAATATACAAAAAATATGAAAATATCCACACACACAAAATAAATAAATTTAATTAATTACTTCAGGTAAAAAAAAAAGAACATAGGACAAAGGAAGTGAAGAATAGTGTTTTGATTTCTGATGAGAACAATTCATAGAAAAATGACCATACCAGTTAAGATATTTGGTAAGCGTCCTGTGTGTGTGAAGTGCTCTGACAGGAGCTGTTTGGGATGAAGAGTGGTGCAATGTGATTATCTTTACCAAAAGTGTTCTAAAGTCTCATACATTTTACAACTTAGAGGTTTAAGAAAATTTGGCAGTGCCAGAGAGTTGCTGTTTGATTTCAGCCATTGAGTGTATTTAAAACAGAAATATATATGAACACAAAAAAGCAAGAGGGAGGTAATCTCATAGTCAAGTATGGTCCTTTAGGCTGATCAAATAGCATTATGAAGATCAGTACTGCCTCATATCTTTGCCTGTGAAAGGTCATCAAGGAGCCACCAACTTAAATGTAGAGATACTGTATGTGCATTTTAAAAAGTTAATGACCTCAACAAGTGAAAGTTAAGAGTCAGATGAGTAGGGTAAATGAGGTTTTTATGAGCCAAAAGGAAAATGTCCAAGCACTGGAGGTTAAAGAAAGGATTTAGACATTCCAATTAATACATAAACACCTGCCTCCTACACATCTGCTGATTGACCGAATGGATGTATGGATGAAATTGGGATGGCTTCATCTATGAAGTCTTCAGAGAAGTTGTAAGATTTGAGCTGGCCTCAAGAAATAAATTGGGAAGCCGGGGTGGCTTAGTGGTTGAGTGTCTGCCTTCAGCTCGGGTCGTGATCCTGGGGTCCTGGGATCGAGTCCCACATTGGGCTCCCTGCATGGAACTTGCATCTCCCTCTGCCTGGGTCTCTGCCTCTCTCTCTCCCTCTGTGTGTGTGTGTCTTTCATGAATAAATAAATAAAATCTTAAAAAAAAAGAAATTGATGATTTGGAGAGGTGACCAGGGCAAGGAGGAAAGACTAGAGCAATGATAAGATCACAAGTGTAATAATGTTTGAAATGTTAGAAGAAAGGATCCAGCAGAGGGTTTGTGTCCTTCTTGTTCAACTCCTCTTTTTGTCTCCAAATAGCAGAGACCTAAGAATAAAGTGAATTCAAAACTTAGTAATTATGCATTGCATGTTTAGAGGTCCTAGAGTCATGGACATGGAATAGTCAGGTAAAATAGCCTGCAGAGAAACAAACAAAAATGCATTTACTACCCAAACTGCTTCACTATCATGGCTTTGCTTCATAGTTATGCTCACATAGACAATTCTACAATTATGGAAAATAGATGTTGGTTGGGCTTGTGTTTTTTTGATGACTCTCAGGCAATGTCACCAGACAAAGATATTTGGGGCGAGGGGGTCGATGTGAGGAAAGAATACGTGGTAGTAGGAGAGAAGAAGCTCAGGGCTGGATTCTAAGTGTCGGTACTTATGTATCCGTAGAGAGAGCTTCAGGTAAACCTTAGTATTATCACTTTATGAAGAAGGTCAGAGGACTTGAGAGATCTTTTTCTAAAATCAAGTTTCTTAAGAAGGCTATTGTTTTTGAGCATGCCTGATGTATTCTTTTTAAAGGGAAATTCTGAATTTGAAAATAGAGAAGAGCAGAGAAAAAGCCTTTTGAATATGTTTGGTTAACCACTCTCGTGTGTGACAGGAATGACAAGGATCAGAGACTCGGGAACGTGCTAATAAATGACTAAAAGTTTTGGGCTTGCCATCACCTTTCCTTAGACTGCTGGTATCACTACGATAAGAGAAGCAGATCACGGTATCTGGATGAGTTAGTGACTAGTTGCCTCATGGATTTTGTCAATTTCTTTTTATCTCTGCGTGCCACTGTTGTCCAAGAACTTACTTGGGTGAGTCAGGTCCAAGCTCCTAATGGATTTTCCAATCTTCTCTTGGTGGCCCTTTGATCTTTTCTCTGCCTGGCCCCCAAAGTAATTTTTGTTTAAGTATTTTTCCAGATTTATTGACATATATTGAGTAAGTTTAAGGTGTACAGTGTAGTGTGATGGTTGATATATGTACATATGGCAAAATGATTACTCACAATAAGGTTAGTTAACCATCCATTGCCTGAAATAGTTGCCATTTGTGTGTGTTGTGTGTGTGTGTGTGTGAGGTGAGGACTTTTAAGATTTACTGTCTTAGCCCCTTTCAAGTATGTTATACAATATTGTTAACTATAGTCACCATGTTGTACTCTAGATTTTCAGAACTTATTCATGTTATAATTGTTAAGTTTGTACCCTTCGACCACCTTCATCCACTTATCCCACTTCTGGTCCCTGACAACCACCAATCTACTCTCTTATGTTCCCAGGAGTTCTTTTTTCTTTTCTTTTGACTCCGCATGTAAGTAAGGTCATTTGGTGTTTGTCTTTCTCCATCTGATTTATTTCACTTAGTATAGTGCCCTCAAGTTTCATCCATGTTGTCAAATGGCAGGATTTCCTTATTTTTTACATCTGAATACTATTCCATTGTAAATATAGGTCCTATTTTTAAAAAGATTTTATTTATTTATTCATGAAAGACACACACACACACAGAGGTAGAGACATAGGCAAAGCAGGCCCCATGCCGGGAGCCCAATATGGGACTTGATCCCAGGACCACGGGATCACGCCCCGGGCCAAAGGCAGGCGCCAAACTGCTGAGCCACCCATGGATCCCCGATATGTCCCATTTTCTTTATCCATTTATCCATTGATGGAAACTAAGATTGTTTCCATGCTTTGGCTATTGCAAAGAACTCTGTTGTGGTCATGGGGGGAGCAGATGTCTCTTGGAGATAATGATTTCATTCCCTTTGGATATATACCCAGAAGAAGGATTGCTGTATCATATGGTAGTTTTATTTTTAATTTTTTGAGGAACCTCTGTAGTGTTTTTCCATAGTGGCTCTAACGGTCTACATTCCCACCAACAGTAAACAGGGGTTCCTTTTACTCCACATCCTTACAAGTGTTAATTCTTGTCTTGTTTTATATATATATATATATGCCATCCTAACTTTTGTGATGTGATTTTTCTTTGTGGTTTTATTTGCATTTCCCTAAGGATTAGTGATGTTGAACACCTTTTCATGGACCTGTTGCTCATTTACGTATCTGTTTTGGATAAATATCTATTCAAGTCCCTTTGCCCATTTTTAAAGTGGATTAATTTGTTTTTGCTACTAAGTGATATTATGTATAGTTACCTATGTATTATGGTTATTAACCCCTTATCATACATATGATTTACAAATATTTTCTCCATTCTTTAGGTTGCCTTTTCATTTCGTAATCATTTCTTTGGCTGTGCAGAGATTTTTAGTTTGATATAGTCATACTTGTTTATTTTTGCTTTTGTTGTCTGTGCTTTTGGTATCAAACCCAATTGCCAAACCAATGCCAAAACTGTTGCCAAAACCAATATCAAGGAACTTTTTATTTGTTTTCTTCTAGGAGTTTTGTTTCAGGTCTTAAATCCATTTTGAGCTCATTGTTGTGTCGGATGTAAGCTAGGAGTCTCTTTCATTCTTTTCAATAGGATATTCAGTTTTCCCAGTACCATTTACCGAAGAGATAGTCTTTTCTGCATTGGGGATTCTTGACTCCCTTGACCAACATTAGTTGACTGAATGTGTGTGGGTTTATTTCTGGGCTCCTGATTTTTTTTTCATTGGTCTACGTGTCTGTCTTTATGCCACTACTATACTGTTTTGGTGACTATATACCATAGCTTTATTGTATAGTTTGAAATCAGGAAGTGTGATGCCTCCAGCCTCGTTCTTCTTTATCAAGATTGCTTTGGCTATTTAGTGTCTTTTGTGGTTCTATACAAATTTTGGAATTGTTTTTCACTTCTGTGAAAAATACCTTTAGAATTCTGATGGGGATTGCATTGAATCTATAGATGGCTTGGGGGTAGTATGGACATTTAAATACTACTAATTCTTCTAATTCATGGATATGAAATTCTTTCTTCAATTTCTTTCATCAATGTGTTATTGTATTTAGATATTTTACAACGTCAGTTAAATTTATTCCTAAACTTATTTTTTTATTCTATTTTGAATGGGACTGTTTTCTTTATTTTCAGGATAATTCCCTGTGGTGTGTAGAAACACAATCAATTTTTGCCTGTTGATTTTGTATGCTATAACTTTACTGAATCTTTTTTTAAAAATTCTAACAGTTTTCTGGTAGATTCTCTAGGGTTTTTTATATATAAGATCATATTATCTGTAAACAGAGAAATTTTACTTTCTGCTTTTTAATTTGGATGTTATTTATTTAGTCTAATTCTTTTGTCTAGGACTTACAGTGCCATGTTGAATCGGAGTAGTGAGAACAAGCACCCTAACTTTATTCCTGGCCTTAGAGGAAAAGCTTTCAACATTTCACCACTGAGTATGGTGTTAGCCATAGGCTTGTCATCTATGGTCTTTATTATTCTGAGGTGAGTTCTTTCTATACCAAATTGTTGAGAGTTTTTATCCTTAAAGGGTATTGAATTTTACTCTTTTTTTGAAGATGTTTTTTCTGAGTCTATTGAGATGATTATATAATTTTTACCTTTCTGTTAATGTGATGTATCACATTAATTAATTTGCATTTCTTGATCCATCATTGTATCCCAGCAATTAAACCCAAATGCTCATGGTGTATAATTCTTTTAATGTGCCTCTGAATTCAATTTGCTAGTATTTATTGAGAATTTTTGTAAGGATATTCATCAGAGATACTGTTCCATAGTTTTCTTTACTTGTAAGGTCCTTGCCTGGCTTTGGTATCAGGTAATGTGGCCACATAAAATGAGTTTGGAAGTGTTCCTTCCTCTAATTTTTTTGGAACACTTTGAGAAGGATTGGTACTAATTCTTCTTTAAATGTTTGGTAAAATCCACCTGTGAAGCTTCTGTCCCTGGGATTTACTTTGTTGGGAGATTTTTTTCATTAGTGATTTAATTTTCTTCTTGTTATTGGTCTGTTCAGATTTTTTATTTCTTCGTGATTTCTTGGTAGTTTGTATGTTTCTAGGAATTGATAAATCACAATTTCCAATTTCTTGGCATACAATTGTTTAATCACTTTGTATTTCTGCAGTTATCAGTTGTAATATCTCCTCTTTCACTTATGAATTTATTTGAGTCCTCTCTTTTTTTTTTCTGTTGGCATATCTAATGGTTTATGTACTTTGCTTATCTTTACAAAGAACCAATTCTTAGTTTTGCTAATTTTTACTATTGTTTTCTGTTCTCAGTTTCCTTTTTTTCTGTTCTAATGTTTATTATTTCCCTCTTGGTAACTTTGGTTTTAGTTTGTTCTTTTTTAGTTCTTTGAGGTAGAATGTTAGGTTGTTTATTTGAGATCTTTCTTTTTTTTTCTCTCTGATATATGCATTTGTAGCTATAAACTCCTCTTAGAACTGCTTTTTGCTGTGTCTCATGAGTTTGGATATGTTGTATTTCCACTGTCTCAAGATATTTTTTAATTTAACTTAGGATTTCCTCTCTAATACATTAGTTGTTCATGAGTGTGTTATTTAATTTTCACGTTTTTGTGAACCTCCCTTCCATCTTTCTTCCTTTTATTGATTTTTAGTTTCATACCATTGTTTTCAGAAAAGATACTTGATATTTCTGTCTTCTTGAATTCGTTGAGAATTATTTTGTGGCCTAACATACGATCTATTCTAGAAAATGTTCAGTGTATATTTCAAAAGAATGCATATTTTGCTGCTATATTGAATGGAATGTTTTATATATGTTATATTCAGTTTGTATGTAGTTGTTCAAGCCTGCTCTTCTCTTTCTTTCTTTCTTTCTTTCTTTCTTTCTTTCTTTCTTTCTTTCTTTCTTTCTTTCTTTCTTCTTTCTTTCTTTCTTTCTTTCTTTCTTTCTTTCTTTCTTTCTTCCTTCCTTCCTTCCTTCCTTCCTTCCTTCCTTCCTTCCTTCCTTCCTTCCTTCCTTCCTTCCTTCCTTCCTTCCTTCCTTCCTTCTTCTTCTTCTTCTTCTTCTTCTTCTTCTTCTTCTTCTTTTCTTTCTTTCTTTCTTTCTTTCTTTCTTTCTTTCTTTCTTTCTTTCTTTCTTTTCTTTCTTTCTTTCTTTCTTTCTCTTCTTTCCTATCCACTGTTGAGACCAGGACTGATGACCATGCTCCTTAGTTGGGCAAGGTCACTACCCTGATTCTTAGTTGGCAGAGTGGCGGGGGCTGCAGGCCCTGTTCCACAATTGGTCTGAGATCCCTGTATAGGAGAGGCCACAGGCTATTCAGTTATGGGGCAGGATCTTACAAGGACTCCATACTGAATGGGGTTGTAGGCTGGCTCCACTTCTAGGCAATACCATAGGCTGGATGCCAAAGCTCCTCAGGATCACTATTTGAGCTTCCTGGTCATGAAGGGCCAGAGGTGATGCCCAGCAGATGGGAAGGACTGTTGGCTTGGTTCCCTGTCTGGGCAAGTTGTAGGATGTGTTCTCTGGCTGCTGGGTGTTGTGGTTATGCTTTACAGAGTGGTGGGACCAGACGCAAGGTTCAGCAGCTGGGGGGGCTGGAGCAGTAAACCTGCTCCCCGGCCAGGGGGTGCTGGGGGGGGTCTGCTCCACTGCTGGTATGGCCCTGTGGCTTATAATTCAAGCCAGGCAGAACTGCCAACTGGACTCCCCGGCCCGATGAGGTGACCTGTTGGGCTTCCGTGGTTGGCAGAGCCTCAGGCCCCACTGTCAGCAGGGATGCAGGCTGCTAAGAACTGAACACTGGTTGCCGGAAACCAGGGGTTTAAAAGCAGTTGAGCTTGTCAGAGTCTTGCAGTGATTCTTGTGAGGTGAGACCTGAGTAGTCCTCCTGGGAAGCATCTTGCAACTCTGGGGAAGCCGAATGTCCACTTGGCTTCTCTTTTTATCACTAGAGAAACTGGAGGCCCTGGGGGGCCCTCTTGGGGTGGCAAAGTACTAGCCTGAGAGTGGTTGACATGGTCAGAGTGAAGCTCTCCCCTTCCTCTTCTAATGGGCCCTTCTCAGTCTCTGCTGCCCAAGGGAGGCCTTCAGCTTCACTTCATTTTTCCGAGACCTCTGTAATGGTGTCTTGTTTATGGATAATTCCTAGGTGGTCTTTTTGTGAGATGGACAGAAATTAAGTATGATACACATCACTATTTCTATTATGTCATTTTAAAATGTTTTTAAAATGCAAACTGGATCATGACTTATCCTCATTTTATATCCTTCAAAGGCTTTTCAAGGTTTTTAGGATAAAGCTTGCCTCAACAATCCTGACTCTGAATAACTTGGTTTCTACTCCCTGTCTCCTTACCTACCACTCTCTCCCTCTCCTTCTAGTCTAGAATTTATCAAAGTATGGTGGTTGATACATCACATCATAATCACCTTGTTATTTTAGAACTATTAAGTAAACACTGTATATGTGGGGCCTGGTAATCTTAATTTTAAGCAAGCTTCATGGATGATTCTCATTAAACTTAAATTAGAAAATCACTACACAACTCCCTATTAGCCTAGCCTTTTCTCTGTTTCTCAAATATGTTCACTTAATTTCTATTTCTAAGTCTTTAAATGTGCAATTTTCTCAGGCTGCAATGTTGGATTTTTCACTCTTGTTCTGAGATGAATTTTTAATTATGCTAACCTTCCAATTTACATGTTGGTTTCTTAAGGATGTCTTCCACTGGGGCTCCTAGGCTAAATTATATCTTCTTATATATTCTCTTCACTTCCTATAACTTTCTTTCATAGCACTTAGGATGTTGGTAATTAAATACTTATTTATGTATTTATATTTTCATCTGCTCCATAAAACCATGTGCTCCCGAGGGCCACAAGTTTTATCTCCTTTCTTACACAGGGTTGCTGTACTATCATTTTGTGTTGTATCCTGCTTTTCACTCCTATTGTGGCTGGCGACCACCTTAATCCTTGCTCTTATCACACTGTGCTACAATTTTCTCTCTACTATCTGTCTTATATTAGCATGTGAAATTCTTGAGGGAAGAGACCAACCATGTTTGAAACACTATCTAGCAAAATAAGTTGAAAATAGTAGGGGCATTAATGAATACTTGGTGAATGAATGAATGAATGAATGAATGAATTACTGGTGTGATTTGTTATGTTTTAGGGAACAGTCTGAGATTTCAAAATTTCTAAATCTACAAAATACTGAAGGCTGTTTGGATTCTTCTGAATTAGAAAAAATTATCCCATTTTTTTCCATTAATATTGGGTCTATTTTAAACTATGTTGTGAATGATTTATAGACTAGAAGAAAACATAAAAGAGAATTTTTGCAATCCTGGATTAAGCAGAGGTTTCTTAGATACATTACAAAAAGCACAATCCATAAAAGAAAAAAGATTGATAAACTGGATTGCATTAAAATGAAGACCTTTGCCTATGTATGGCATTATTAAGAAAATAAAAAGACACAGACTAGGAGAAATATTTGAAATCACATATTTGAAAAATGACTTGAATCCAGTTTACATAAGAATCCTCAAAAGGCAGTAATGAGAAAACCATCAGCCCAGTGAAAAAAGAAATGAGCACAAGATTTACAAAGACACTTGAAATTATAGGAATGGCAAATAAGCACATGAAAAGATGCTTAACATCATTAGTTATTAAGAAAATGCAAATAAAAACTACAATATGACAGCATAGCACATCTATTAAAATAGCTTAAACAAGCACACAAAATAACTGAAAATACCAAGGGCTGGCAAGGATGTGGAGCAACGGAAGCTCCCATATATTCCTTCTGGCAATTCAAAATAGTGCAGTCACTTTTTAAAACAGTTGGGCCGTTTTTGTAAAGTTAAACACACTTACCAAATGACCTAGCAACCGTACTCCTAAGTATTTACCCAAGCTAAATAAAATTTTACGTTCACAGAAAAACATGTATGTTAATATTAATAGAGGCCTTATTAGTAATCACTAAAAACTGGAATCAGTCCAAACTGAGGTACATCCATACCTGGCAATAAAAAGAATGAAAGGCTGGTATCACGATAACAGGAATGGGTCACAATTGCATTTTTCTGGATAAAGGCGCCAGACTTAAAAACAAAAATCATAAACTGCATGATTCCATTGATATCATATTCTGGGAAACATAAAAATATAGGAATGGAAAATAGAACCATGGGTGCCAGGGGCCTGGGGTGTAGGAGGGGTGGATTGCAAAGGGCAGGAGGAAATTTGGGAAGATTATCAAACTGTTCTACTGTTCTACATCCTGATTGTGATAGTGGCTACATGGCTATATGTGTTTGTCAAAACTCACAAAGTGGTACACTACAAGGATGAATTTTATTCCATGTAAATTATGCCTTATCACAAAAATGAAATGTCAGTGACAGAGACTTTCTGTGTAATTTATGCTTTCAAAGTCCATG